CTGATACTTGCTACAATGTGGATGAATCTTGAGAACATTATGTTAAGTGAAATAAGTTAGACACAAAATTTCACAGTTTGTGTAAATCCACTTATGTGATGTACCAAGAGTAGACAAACTCATAGAGACAGAAAGTATAATGATGGTTGCTACGAGCTTAGGGGAAGAGGGGATGGGAAGATGTTGTTTAATGGGCACAGAATTTCTATTTGGGATGATGAAAAATTATGGAGAGGGTTAGTGGTAAAGGTTATAGGACATTCTGAATATACTTAATGCCACTGAATTATACATTAAAAAATGGCTAAAGTAGTAAATTTCATCATACATTTTAACACAATTAAAAGAGATTCAGTTCAGAGCTATTGTAAGATGATTTAGGAAAATTGTTAAGAAATAGCATCAGCAGTTTTAAAGCACTTTTTAAATGGCAAATGACCACCCTGACTGGTGTGGCTCAGTGGATGGGGTTTCATCTCAAAAAGTGAAAGGTCACCGGTTCAATTCCCAGTCAGGGCACATGCCTGGGTTACAAGCCAGGTCCCAGGTTGGTGATGAGGGGGAGGCAACAGATCGATGTTTCTCTCCTATATCTATGTTTCTCTCCCTTCCTCCCCTTCTCCTCTTTCTAAAAATAAATAAAATCTTAAAAATAAAAAGGCAGCCCTGGTGGTGTAGCTCAGTGGATTGAGCACAGGCCTGCAAACCAAAGGATCACGGTTCAATTCCCAGTCAGGGCACATGCCTGGGTTGCAGGCCAATTCCCAGTGGGCGACGCATGAGAGACAACCATATATTGATATTTCTCTCCCTCTCTTTCCCTTCCCTTCTAAAGACAAATAAATAAAATCTTCTTTTAAAAAAGGCAAATGACCTTTTCCCAACTTCTTCATCTTTAGTGCTTAGAGCTCCTATCATCAATTTCTTAAATGCCTCTAATGACCTGAAAGTAAGGCAGCTATTGGGGGCAAGGCTGGAAATATATGTGAACTTATGCTATGAAGCTCTGTCCTACTCAGGGAGCTGAGGTTGGCTTTCCTGGGTAGGAAACAATTGAAAGGAAACTCAGGTGATAAATTTGAAGAGGGAAAAATCAAAATAAGGTGTTCAAATAGCCTGTGCTGAGGGACTTGTGGTAGCTGCCAGACGTGCACCCAGGCCTGTGTGGTCAGGTGCACATACAAGTGAAAGATGGTGCTGATGCAGTTAAACAAGTCCAGATCCTTGGGCTTCCTTTTTTTTTTTTTTTTTTTTTTAGCATTTTTAACATCTTAATTGTGTTCAAGTACAGTTTTCTGTCTTTTACTCCCATCCCAGCCCACCCCCCCAATGCTTCCCACCTCCCTCCTATTTCCACCTCCCTTAGTTTTTGTTCATGTGTCCTTTATACTTGTTCCTGTAAACCCTTCCCTCTTTCCCCTGAAATTCCCTCCCCTCTCCCCTCTCCCTTCTGGTCACTTCCGGGCTTTTGCAAGAAGTTGCCATTGCTCTCTCCTTTCCTTTCTCCCCTCAGTATCTTACAAACAATATTTCTCACTTTTGGATTCATGCAAACCAAGGAACTGGAACTATTATGATGTTATTTACTCACACCCTCTCTAGTTTCCTTTTAATTTTCTACTTGATCTGACAAAAGACATCTCATTTGTTCTGCTGTAGCTTAGGAGCTGATAAAGTCTGGGCAGAGCTCATGGTGTGAAGGTTCAAATCCTGGCTCTGTGTTTGCTCTCTGTAATCTAAGATAATTCTTGTGCCTGAGTTTCTTTATCTGTACAATGGGGTTAATACCACAACTTCAACTTCTGGCCAAGATGGAGGCATAGGTAGATATACTTTGCCTCCTTGCACAACCAAAAGAAGGACAAATAATTTAAAAACAAAAAACAACTAGAACTGCCAGAAAATTGAACTGTATAGATAACCAAGAAGTTAAGAACAAACATTTATCCAGATAGGTATGAGGGGTGGAGATAAGAAGCTAGGGCAGTGAGGACTCATGGCAAGGCAGCAGCTGGCGGAGTAGGTGGTCCCACATTTTCATGCAGATAAACTGAGACGAACAACTGGAGAGTGAGACAGACCACAAAACCCAGGGTTCCAGCATGGGAAAATAAAGCCTCAAAACCTCTGGCTGTAAAACATCTGTGGGCGTTGTGCTGGTGGGAGAAACTCCCGGCCTCATAGGAGAATTCTTAGAGAGAACTCTCTCTAGAACCCTTGGGGTCCTAGAACATACACAAAACCATTCACCTGGGAATAAGCACCAGAAGGGGCCATTTGCTTGGGGGTAGCAGAAGAAGTGACTGAAAGCTGCCTAGAACCAAGCAAGAGGCACTGTTCCCCCTCAGACTCTCCCCCACATAGAACGCCATAACACAGTAACGTGGGTTGCCCCACCTTGGCAAATACCTAAGGCTCTGACCCTTACAAAATAACAGGCATGCCGAGACAAAAAAAAAAAAAAAGGCCAAATGAAAGAACAGATCAAAGCTCTAGAAAAAAAATACAACTAAACAGTGAGAGATAGCCAACCTATCAGATGCAGAGTTCAAAACACTTGTAATCAGGATGCTCACAGAAATGGCTGAATATGGTCACAAAATAGACAAAAAGTGAAGGCTATGAAAAGTTAAATAACAAAAAATCACAGGGAACAAACAGTGACAGGAAGGAAACCGAGATTCAAATCAACAGTTTGGACTAGAAGGAAGAAACAAACATTCAATCAGAACAGAATAAAGAAATAAGAATTAAAAAAACAAACGAGAAGCTCAGGAACTGTTGGGACAACTTTAAACATTCAAACATCTGAATCACAGGGGTGCCAGAAGGAGAAGAGGAAGAGCAAGAAATGGAAAACTTATTTGGAAAAATAGTGAAGGATAACGTCCCTAATTTGACAAAGGAAATAAGACTTCCAGGAAGTCCAGGAAGCCCAGAGAGTCCCAAGGAAGTTGGACCCAATGTAGCACACACCAAGGCACATCACCATTACATTCCCAAGATTAAAGAGAAAGATAATCTTAAAAGCAGCAAGAGAAAAGAAGACAGTTATCTACAAGGAGTTCCCATAAGACTATCAGCTGATCTCTCAAAAGAAACCTTGAAGGAAGGAAGGCTGGAAAGAAGTATTCAAAGTCATGAAAGGTAAGGACCTACATTCAAGATGACTCTATCCAGCAAAGCTATCATTTGGAATGGAAGGGCAGATGAAGTGCTTCCCAGATAAGGTCCAGTTAAAGGAGTTCATTATCACTGAGCCCTTATTATATGAAATGTTAAAAGGGCCTATCTAAGAAAAAGATCACCAAAAATATGAACAGTAAAATGACAACAAACTCACAACTATCAACAACCGAACCTAAAAAAAACCCAAAAGCAAACTAAGCAAACAATAGACCAGGAACAGAACCACAGAAATGGAGATCACATGGAGGGTCATCAGTGGGTATGTGGAGTGGGGAGAATAGGGGAAGGGGTACAGGGGATAAGAAGCATAAATAGTAGATACAAAATAGAGAGGGGGAGATTAAGAATAGTAGGAAATGGAGAAGTCAAAGAACTTAAATGTAGCACCCATGGACATTAACTAGGGCGGGGGGGGAATATTGGTGGTAGAGGGGTATGGCGCAGAGGGGAATAAAGAGGGCAAAAATGGGACAAACTATAATAGCATAATCAAATAAAATACATTTAAATTTTTTAAAAATAGTACACCTTCATAGAATTTTGTGATGTGATTAATACCAGTAACATGCTTAACATCATGATTCACCCATTATAAGAACTAAACAAGTCTTATTATTATTTTCATTATAATTAGCCTTAGCCCAAGACTTAGGACCAGTTTGGGAGAAACTGCAGGAAGATGTGTAATTTGGATTCCCAGCTAGGTTAGCTATTTGGCTTTATCCAGAGGAAAAGCAAACTTCTTGTATCTTTGTGACAAGTCACTTGTAATTTGGAACAAGGCACCCACTGAAGTTAAGACTCCTACCCTCTCAAGGAAATTGAAAAATAGGGCATTATCTCCCTGTATGTTTACATTTCAAAGATATGGCTGGCCATAAAGGTGAGGCAAGGCCTAGGTAGTCTTCAAAAGGATTTATGTACATACATTTCAAATATAAGATAAACTACAGTCCTGGGCCACTTAAGGACTAGACCAGGATACAGTCTGAGATGTGCTAGTTAGGCGACTTCCGTCATTTTTTCGTACTTCTTCAAACATCATAGAGTGAACTTACACACCTAGGCTATATACCACCTTCCTATGTGGTCAATCATTGACTGAATCATTGTTATTCAGCACATTATTGCATTTACAATCATCAATTTTCTAAAGTACATACTCAAAAAAAAGGAGAGGAAAAATGACTTCCCTTATTTTCAACAGGGAGTATTAAGCCTCTTAATGTTTGCCTTACACTCCTAAACATTAGACACAACCTGCAGATGAGACAAAGCTGAGTGTATTGCTGGCTGCAGTAAAGGAGAACATAGCCTCACAAGCTTTATTTAGCCGTGGCTAGATGCAGCATGCCAAGGTCAGAATTAACAAGACTGGAAGTTTGATTCCTGTTGAGTCTTGCAAAGCAAGGTTTGATTAGAACGGCATAAGAATGGGTGGAAGCATCAAGGTCTTGAGCAGAAGGACTCAAAGGCTGCTGGGGCATAAATTGTTTTCCACTGAGGAGCTGATGGGTCTTTGGGAGAAGTTTCATAATAACCAAACCATGTGCTCGGCTGGAGACTCCCAGAGTAAGAGGATGCCCGCTGGCAAGAGGCGCCCTCTCGAGCGTGGAGGCGCATTGTCCGCTGCCCACCAGCCTGAGAAGGTCCGCAGGGCACCTACCCCTACTCTATAGCTGGGGGGCAGTGGCTCCAGTTGTTGACGGACCTCTCCAAGGAGAACTCCGGACTGGGCTGCGCGGGGCACGCAGGCTGCAGAGCAAGCAGCTGGGATAAACCCGAACGTGACCACACAACCCGCCACTTACAGATCCTTTTGAGGCTGCCCACGCCGCCTGCGCCACGCCTCAGCCGCAGAGGCGCCTTCACTGCCTTCTGCGCAGGCTCACGTCTTGGCTCGCGGCCAGTGACGCAATCTTGCACCGCTGGCAGGACGCGGAACCCCAGGTTCTGCCGGCTCCCATAACTCTCTGGTCGAAAGGCCTCCGTAGTGACAGAGGCGCCCTAGTGCAACCAGAGCCCCCGAAAGGGGGCGGGGCTAGCAGGGACCCGCGGCAGCCAATCCTTGGAGCCTGCGTCCTTGCTGCGCCCCGCCCAGCAAGCCCGCCAACCCCACGGGCCTGGTCCAGCGGAAGCGGGGCGGCGGTGGCGGCGTTGGCGGCAGTCCTTGGGAGGTGAGTGCTCTGCCCGAGGGCCCGCCCAGTCACCGCCTCTCCGCTGTTTCTGCGGGCCCTTCCCGTAGGAGCGGCGGGCCTTAGGGGTGCAAGAGCCAGGGCTGGGGGAGAGGGCAGGCGCGGCCAAGAGGGAGGAACTGGCCCGATCGCGCGGGCGCAGTGGACGACCGCGGTGCAGCAGGAACCCCGTCCGCCAGGAACTGGGGCCCGGTCCTTGGGAAAAGTGTGGGTCGGAGGGGCCGAGTAGCACTCTTACGGTGGCAGCGAGCTCCCTGTGGGGGGCTGGGGATGGGCGCTGTCAGGCGCGGGCCCCGGTCAGGCTCAGGCCAGGCTAGAAAGCCGCAGCCTTCTAGTACGGAGGGGAGGACCGCAGTAGGGCGATGCGCCGGGACAGAGGAGTTGCCAGGGTACCAGTTACAATGGGAGATGCCGCCGTCACCCAAGCTGAAATGTTCTGTTGTCCCGATCACTGTTTCTCTTACCCTATTGGTGCAAAATGGGAAATCGTGTCCAGAAACAACTTTGACTTCTAAATCACTTTCACCGGCCCCCCCCGCCCCCCCGCCCTGTAAGCTCACACATCTCTCTGCTCCAGGGCCAGGTCCGCAGAAGTTTGGGGGAGTGGAGGGCTATTGGTGAGTATGAGTATCAGGCTTAAGAGACTAATCTCCTGTCAATTCTCCCAACAACGGGTTGGAAACAGTGACAGTCCCTATGTTAAAGTTCCACCATCCCATGAACCTCTCATATAGATTTAACTTAGTTTTGGTCAGTATTTTATTTTTACTGTGGAGTCTTCTTCAGGTGATAGATATTACTCAGGTCTTGTAGATGTCATTTTTACAGTTAAATCTCAGAGTACAGACGTTTTTCATGTTGAGGTCTTGATGCTGGTGGTTGAAGGGGGCCAGTTGTAGCCTCAGGTGTCACTGATGGGACTGGAGAAGTGGGGAGAGGTGAGACTGGTTTTCAGGGAAGATGAAAGTTTTGCTCTAGACACATGGGGTCTGAGATGACATTCAAGATCTGGCTGAAGGAGGTTAGAAGGTAGGCACTTTGGATGGATGGGTGGAAATTTAGGAACAAAGGCAAATTTGGAACAGGAAGGTAGATTGAAGAGTAGGAGGCTGGGGGTGAACCTTCAGAAGAAAGCACATATCGAGTCTGAGGTGACAGAACAAGCAAAGCAAAATAAATGACCCAAGATGGTGTTGGGTACCAAAGAAAGCGAGGAGAGACCTCAGGGTAGGATGGGTGTGAAATCTACAATGCCCACAGAGGGAGTAAAAGCAGCTCTTTGCATTTGACAAGGCTGAAGTGAGGGAGTACTGAGCAGTTTCGTTGTATGTCCAGAATCCCATCAGGCCCAGGACCAAGTCCCAGCCCAACCACTTACTTCCGATAGTTCCTTTGTCATCTGTGAAATAGGGATAATATAGCACATAGGCCTGGTGCATGGGAAGCCTATACCAACTAGCTAACAAGTTTTAGGTGTGGCTGCAAGCATTTGAAATATTTGTAACTAACTGAAGCCTCACAACAGCCTGCCAGCCTTCTACAAAGGAGCAAGCAAAATAAGGTTCAGAAAATTTACTTACTCCAGGTAAAGTAGCTAGTTAAAGCTTGGGAACTTACATTACTTCAGTAGAGTTAACAATAATTCAAATTCTGAGGTGTTTTGGCCAGGTCGGAAGTAGTATGTGTCATTGACTAAATTTCTATGAAGTTTTCACCATGAAAGTAGTTATATTTTTTATAATTCAGTTGTTCTCTAAAGTTTGGTCCCAGATCAGCCATGTGTTTTGTTTGGTTTCCTGATCAAAGAACTAGAATTGTTGTTGCCATAAATTCTTTTAAAATTTTGGGGCTGTTTCTAAGCAGATTTGAAAATGATCTAGCAAATTTACTACCTTAATGTATTTCATTAATCATAGTTTTAATCATGTATGTGTATCCTTGGGTGAAATCTTAGTAATATGCTTTTTTTCCCCCACAAATTATCTTATGAAGGTGCATCAGGACTTCACTTCAGAAAACTAACTGAAGTGTGATTTCAGTCTTCACATGAGAAAAGTTAGGTGTAGGTTAAGTTTATATTCTCTAAAAAACAAATAATCTTCGTAACTTTTAATCCTTTTACTTCGGTAATTGCTCATGCATGAACTAATTCTTGTTTTTGTTTTCAAAGCTATTTTTAGAAAGAAGAAACATGGAAAGTGGTGCAGTTCTGCTGGAATCCAAATCCTCACCGGTTAATCTTCTGCATGAAATGCATCAGCTACGCCTTCTGGGTCACCTATGTGATGTGACTGTCAGTGTGGAGTACCAGGGCGTCCGCAAAGAATTCATGGCCCATAAGGCAGTGCTGGCAGCCACCAGCAAATTTTTTAAGGAAATGTTCCTTAATGAGAAGACTGTGGATGGCAGTAGGACTAATGTCTACTTAAATGAAGTTCAAATTGTTGACTTTGCTTCATTTCTTGAGTTTGTTTACACTGCAAAGGTTCAGGTAGAAGAAGATCGGGTACAGCGAATGCTGGAAATGGCTGAAAAGCTAAAATGTTTAGACTTATCAGAAACTTGTTTTCAGTTAAAGAAACAGATGTTAGAGTCAGTACTTTTGGAGTTGCAGAATTTCTCTGAGTCTCAGGAGGTGGAAGGGAGCAGTGGCTCCCAAGGCAGTGTTACTCCTGATACTATAGCAAGTGTGACTATGGACAGTCCTCTTGCCAGTGGCCTTATGGGCTCCTCAGATCCCCTAGTACAGAGAATCAGCAACGGCATGTTGCCAGATATGCCCCCAAGGAAGTCCAAGGAGAAACCAGACAAGAAGAAAGATGTTAAGCCCTCCTACCCTAAAATCAGAAGAGCTAGTGGAAGGCTGGCTGGCAGAAAGGTATTTGTGGAAATTCCTAAAAAGAAATATACAAGAAGACTCCGAGAACAGCAGAAAAGTGCTGAGAATGATGTGGGGGACTACAGGTGGCCACAAGAACCCAGCCCAGACACTGTGGGTACAGAGATAGAGCCAATAACAAAAAATGAGGATTTCAGTGCTGAAGTGGAGGTAGGGGAGGTGCTGCAGAAAGCAGGGTATGGGCGGGAAGAAGGTGAGGAGGGTGAAGAGAAGAGGAAGAGCAACTTTAAGTGCACTATTTGTGAAAAGGCCTTTTTATATGAGAAGAGCTTCCTGAAGCACATCAGGCACTACCATGGAGTGGCCACTGAGGTGGTTCACCGCTGTGATACCTGTGGCCAGACCTTCGCCAACCGCTGCAACTTGAAGAGCCACCAGCGTCACGTACACAGCAGTGAGCGCCACTTCCCATGTGAGTTCTGTGGGAAGAAATTTAAGAGGAAGAAGGACGTCAAGCGGCATGTGGTACAGGTCCATGAGGGGGGTGGTGAGCGGCACCATTGCCAGCAGTGTGGCAAGGGCCTGAGTTCTAAGACAGCCCTACGGCTCCATGAGCGGACACACACAGGCCACAAGCCCTACGGCTGCACTGAGTGTGAGGCCAAATTCTCACAGCCCTCAGCACTGAAGACCCACATGAGGTATGTGCACCTAGCTCTAGCTGATTGGTGTGGGCAATAGCAGAGACCCTCTCAAACTAATTTTTTTTCCAGAATGTGGCTTGTGTACTTAATTTGGTTGAAATGTGTGTCAGAAATTGAGGTAGCTCTAGGATTTGGACTAGTGTGACTATATTTCACTTCATAACTTATTCCCTCCAAAAGTTGGGGATTCTTTATGGGTAGAGATGCTATGAGATGGTCTTGTTCTACACTACAGAAATATCACAGTGTTCTATAGGCCTCAGGCTGATTAGGATTTCCCAGCTCCTATTGTGGTCACAGCATGGAAGCCTGGACACAGGACCAGGGCAGCAGACAGCTGTTGAACATGCCAAGCCCCACAGATCTTTTGTGGCATGCAACTGCAAGCCAGAGCTCTCCCAGTCCCAGAGGAGCCTCTGGTATGTATTCTTTCCACCACACGTGAAGCTAATAACCTTTATTTTTCTTTTCCTGATTTGATTTAGAACATGGGGTTGTGACCATCTGGGTCCCACAGTCCCATCAATGAGTTCAGTGAATGACATTTTAGGGCTTTTGAACTCTTCTCTGGTCATGTTCATTCTCTGGACTTGAAAACTGTGCTATTGGTTAGTCTAAACTCCAGAATTAGGACAGTGTTTTTCTGTTAACTTGGGCACTGTAGGTGGGTGGTACTGTTTTTAAATGTAGTATGTTTCAAATCCAGTTTTCCACCCTGTTCTAGATCTGCCCTCAAACTTGGGCTAGTCTTTGGGGTGGTAGCATGGTGTTCACTCTTTTACTCTATATAACAAGTTTAAAAACTTGCCTCATTAGGAAGTGCTCAGTAAGTCATGGTCGATAATCTACTTCATACTAGTTGTGAAATTCAATGCTTATGCATTTTATGTATTTTTGGAAGCCAGGTTTCTTCAGCATTTTGAGAACAGTTCTTTCTAGACTAGTTATGTGATACATGTTAGTAAATGAAACTTTACAAATATTACATGATGTTGTTAGTATTTTTAAAAATATGCAAAGGCCAGGTGCTGAAAGACAAATACCACATGATCTCACCTTTAACAGGAAGCTAAACAACAAAACAAACAAGCAAGCAGAAAAAAACAAAACAAAGACACTGAAATAGAGAACAAGGGGACAGTGACCAGAGGGGAGAGGGAAGGGAAGTTAAGGGGAAAAAGGGGGAGGGATTTGGAGGAACAAATAGGAAGGACACAGGGACGAGAACTCAAGAACTAAGGGGGGTGGAAATGGGAGGAAGGTGGGGAGCAAGGGGCGGGGGAGGCTGGGATGGGAGAAATAGACAAAAAAACTGTACTTGAAAAATAACTAAATAAAATTAATTAATAAAAAAAGAAATAAAAAAATATGCAAAGGCATGGTCTCTGCTTAAACGTGTTGTACAAAATAAACCGTAAGGCAGGTATGGGTGGACATTTACTGTTTTACGGGAAAATGCGTAGTTGTCCTTGTGCAGATGTGGATTTGGGGATGAAGATTATGGGCTTCACTCCAGTCATTCTCATTAGGTCTCCCAGAACAAACTATCTTTGCAGGCTGGAGTGGAAATTGAATTGCAAAGTGTGGTTTCAGATACATCCTAAGTTATCATCTGAATGTTGTACTTTCAGAATTCATACAGGGGAAAAACCTTTTGTCTGTGATGAATGTGGTGCAAGATTCACTCAGAACCACATGCTGATATATCATAAAAGGTGTCACACAGGTAAATACCCCTGCTGTTGTGATTGAATGTCTTTCCTAGTGGTAGAAGAAAACTGCAATTTATTAATTTAGAAGTTGGCATCTACCAAAGTGGTGCAGGTTAAAGCCATGAGCTATCTTTCTCATTTAGAAAGTGAGCAAAAAATGCGTAACTAAAATATGCTTGAGGTGATGGCCTTTTGCACACTAGGCAGTAGGAACTGGCATGTATGTGCGTCTTATGTATCAAAAAGATATGAAACAGTTTCTACTGCTTTAGCCTCAAATTCCATTTTCAGGCATCTGTCCTAAAGAAATTGTTCAGAGTATGAGAAAAGCTCTATTTCCCATCATCTTGATATTTCTTTTTTTAAAGATTTATTTATTTATTTATTTATTTATTTATTTATTTATTTATCTTTAGAGGGGAAGGGAAGGAGGGAGGGAGAGAAACATCAATGTATGGTTGCCTCTTGTGCGCCCCCTGCTGGGAACTGGCCCACAACCCAGGCATGTGCCCTGACTGGGAATCGAACCACGGTTGTTTGGTGTGCAGGCCTGTGCTCAATCCACTGAGGCTTGCTATATCTAATAACAGAGCATGAGAAACAACCTGCTTACTCAACCACAGTGGTTTAGTAAATAGGAAAATCTACCTTCCTGGCTCATGCCACGGCCATTCAGGGTGAGGGCTCTGAACATTCAGAATAACACTTGTACTTGAATATTGACTTGAAAATGCACAGTAAAGCATACAACTAATCTCAACTATATTGCACACCTGCACAGAAGACTAGAAAATAATTATATGATATATTAAGGTGGGAATTACCTTATTCCCATCTTCCAAAAGTTTTGTATTTTATTATGTGAGGGACAAAATTCAAGTTGGTTTTATTCTGATTCAGCACAGTAACCCCACGGTTCAAAAAACCGTATTGTTTGGCCCTGGCTGGTATGGCTCAGTGGATTGAGCGCGGGCCTGCGAATCAAAGGATCGCGGTTCGATTCCCAGTTAGGGCACAGGCCAGTTCCCAGCAGGGGACGCATGCAACCATACATTGATGTTTCTCTCCCTCTCTCCTGTCCTTCCCCTCTAAAGATAAATTAATAAAATCTTAAAAAAAAAAGAAAAAGAAAACCGTGTTGTTTGGCATAGAAGTATACATAATGTTGTACAGTGTGATTATAATGCTAATCCAGTTCCTTAATTTGTTGTATTTTTAATTTTTTTACTTCTAAACACTGTCATATGTTCCTCAAGTTCAACTGCAGGTGAGGCAGAAATGAGATATTTAATGATGTGAATTATTAGACTGTAAAATGAGCAGAATTTGTATGTAATGGATGCTTGGGGATAGAGGTGAAGTCAGATCACAAATGAAAGATTAAGTTCAATCATTTGATGAAAATAATATATTCAGAATTTATTAAACCCAGTATTTTTATTTTGATGGTTGTAAAACCAGGAGTACACCTAATAAATAAGTCTGATTTGTAGAATTAAAGGATTCCAACTACACAATGTGAAGTGGTATTTAACCATTTTTTCCTGGTCTTATAATCCAATCCAAAGTGCTTGGGAGTTGCTACTCTAGAATAATTATGCATATATAGCCAATGTAAAATTCCTCTCCCTTTCAAGAATCACTTTTATTTTTTTTATTCTGAAAAAGATCCACACAAGTGCTTCTTTGAGAAAAATCTAACAATTTCTCCAAACAAGCTGTACGATTACGTGTTTGAAATGACTAAATTACCAAAATGTGACTTGGTTAATGGAATCTTTCTTAGGATTTCCAAGGATATTTTATACCAGTTTTCAGCAAGTAGCATGCATCTTACACGAAGAGATGTTTTATGACAGTTTTAACTAGAAAATGCAACAGGCTGCCTCTGCTGTTGGAGTTCATAGGGTTTTAGAGTTTGGATACACTCTTAGCTATGTGTTCTAGTGCCTGTGTCATTTCTAACTTTTTGTTTCATCTTTTCATGTAGGTGAAAGACCTTTTATGTGTGAAACATGTGGCAAGAGTTTTGCTTCTAAGGAGTATTTAAAACATCACAATAGAATCCATACTGGATCCAAACCTTTTAAATGTGAAGTTTGTTTCAGGACTTTTGCCCAGCGGAATTCACTTTACCAGCATATTAAAGTCCACACAGGTATGGCTGGAATGTTACCAGAAAAGGGAGTTAAGTGTACCAAGAGAAATATCCCAAAGGTTTTTGACTTAACTAGAAAAATTGGAATTTAGCTTTAGGAAAAATCTTTCACCAAACTTTGCATGTCATAATACTATTTTTAAATTTTTCAGTTTCTAGTTTCTGGCTCTTGAGAAACTGAAAAGGTATGGATGTGTAAACATTTTAACATTTTCAGATTAGAATTAGGGATAATCTATACATATTAGTGTATATGCACATGCATGCAAATTCAATTATGGGATGTGGGAATTTTACATCCCTCACAACGGAACTAGGTGAAATTTCTATAAATGTAGTATGAGCTGCAGGTATGAATTTGGCCCTTTTTTGGTGCAGAGAATAAACTCTTGGTATTACAAGGATTCCTGCTCTTCTGAAGTTCGTACTGGGACACTTTGCTTTTAGAAAGACCTATATTAGTACCTGTTTTCATTAACTGAAAAAATGTAACATGAACTTCTGGAAAGTGGGGAATACTCTTCACTTTATGCCATCATTGGCCTACAAAAGGTTTCATAGGAACACTACTTTCGGGTCAGGGAAACATGTATAGATGACTGATTTTTTTACCTGTCAGTTGACCCTCAACTGATTTTCTTTATGGTGGAGTGCTAATAATTTCCAGTGGTTTACAAACAGCATTATTTCATTTTGTAGTCAGAATTAAATACACCAGGCTAACGAGATCAACCAATTTTCTCCTCTACCTGCCGCAGGAGAACGTCCCTATTGTTGCGATCAGTGTGGTAAGCAGTTCACCCAGCTCAATGCTCTCCAGCGCCATCATCGGATCCACACAGGAGAGAAGCCATTCATGTGTAACGCATGTGGACGGACCTTTACTGACAAGTCCACTCTCCGGCGGCACACCTCAGTAAGCAACAGTATGGCTTAAGAATAACAAATTGCTGTTTCCTGGGTATGTGTAACCCTAGACAGTCAGAAATGCCTGCTATTCTATAAGGTGGTTATAGAAGACAAACAACAGATATTTTCTTCCTCAGGTTTTCTCTGCTGTGAGCACATTCACAGTGTGAATGAGTGAAGAGCCAAGTCTTGAGTTTTATAGACACTTTCTAACAGCAGCAGTAGTGGTAGGTAGAAAGATACTTGGCAATTAGTAAAAGAGCGTTGAGGAGAGACTGTTGTTTCAAAGATGCATTTAGTAAGTAGCTATGGCCCTAGTCAGGTGGCTCAGTTGGTTGAAGCATTGTCCTGTGCACCAAAAGGTTGCAGGGTTGGTTCCTGGTCAAGGCTCATACCTAGGTTGTGGGTTCAATCCCCAGTTGGGCTGTGTAGTAGAGGCACCCAGCTGATGTTCTTCTCTCACACTGATATGTCTCTCCCTATTCCCACCTTCCTCTCTAAAATAAAATTTAAAAAATCCTTGGATGGGGATTAAAAAAAAGAAAAACAATAACTGTGAATTGGAAGATTAATAGATATTTGTCCAAAGACACATTCAGTGACTTTTGTGTTTCATTTATAGGTACATGATAAGAATACGCCATGGAAGTCTTTCCTTGTTATTGTAGATGGCTCACCCAAGAATGATGAAGGGCATAAAACTGAACAGCCTGATGAAGAATATGCATCATCCAAACTTTCAGATAAATTGCTGTCTTTTACAGAAAATAACCACTTTCACAACCTGGCCACAGTCCAAGGCAGTGTATCTGCTGTACATGAAAATAATTCTATAGACACAGCCTGCAAGTCAGATAATTCTGTGGTGTCCCAGGATGCTCTGCTGGCCACTACTATCAGTGAGCTTAGTGAGCTTACCCCACAGACACATTTGATACCCACACAACTTCACTCTTTGACCAATATGGAATAAGAGCTGGAAATTACCTGCCAAGCAGATCCCATCCGGCACCTTGTGTGACAGTGTATACAGGATGATATCAGGAGCTAAGAAACAGGCAAAGAAGTAGGCAAGAATGGCTTCTGATCATCCTAAATTTTGATAACTTGCACGTTTTTATCAAAACATTTTTAAAATTTTCCCTTAAAAATCCTGATCTGCACGATCCCAGCTACACTTTATCAACACATAAGGCAATTAATATAACCTCACCTAATTTTGGTGTAGGCTTCTATATGCATTAATCATTCTAACGCTTGAGTACCTTGATGTTTGTTAAGTTTAGACAACTATTTACCTTAATAATAGAGTACAGAGCATTGATCCAGCTCATGAATTTACTTTTAATGGTCTCCCTGATCTCTCAGCCTGCCTTATACTCCCACGTGGGTTTATTTCTCTGATATTTTAAAGATATTTTTCTAATAAGCTGAAATAAAACTGGGGCCATATATTAATTGTTTCTTTCCTGTTGAATTGAAGCAAATCAGATTTGCTGAAGGGACCCTTGAATGGGACTGAAGAAATGAATTACTGAATTCATTTCCTTCCACTCCCTCACACCCACACTAAAAAAGGAGTGACACTTGCAAACAGCTTAGTATAACCCTTACTCATAGCACATACACAACTAGGAAATTTGTTATAAAATAACTTTTGAAATGAGATGTGGCTGTTCAGTTTCATTCCTAAAAACCTAATAAGGTAAAATCTGTCCTACCAAAGATTTTAATAGCAATCTATGTTTGTTTTTGCAAAGAGGTGTGAAAAATTAAGCCACAGGGTTTACAACACTTGAAACAGCATGTTGTCTTACCAGTAGCAATGAGGTGATTATGGCAAACCTTAGAGCACAGAGTATTAGTATTTCTGTGTTTTCTGACTTAATTTCTGTAACTTTCAGAAACCAGATTTACACATTTGTTTCTTTAGAAGCATGTGAGAAATATAGCAAAGGGACCAAAAGCCTTGGCACACATCATTGATTATGCCTTAAAAGTAGATTGTGGATAACCAATAATTTGTTGTAAATGCCCCTTTGGCTGTGTTATGCTGGAGTTAATGAACTTGCAATGAAAAGATAATTCTGCTGTATTTACTAAGCTTGATTCTTGGTTCCAGTGGCTTTTGTATATAGTTGTGACTCATAAGTAACCCTAAACATATTAATTTAAAGACAGCCTTAAAAGGGAATTCTGTTTACCAGTTTTTCTACATTTTAATTTATTAATTTACTGTGAAAACACTTTCATTTCTAAGAGAAAGAACTTATCCATAAGTTTCAGGATGAAGACATAGCTATACCATTCCAGAAACATTAATGAGGTAACACTTTCTTCCTATGTGCTCTTTTTGTTCTAGTTTATAACATGTTACATACTAAAGCCACTATAAGGTGGTTTTAGGTGCTGATAACATGTTTCATACCTACTCTTAAAGAACAGTGGTACTGAACTAGTTCAAGTTCAATTATGACAATATATCCTAATTGTGTTACAGAACAACAACAAATAGTGATCATTACATGGCCATTTTATTCTTGGTAAGAGAATGAACCTGCCCAACTGATGTACTGTTTCATGGAGTAAAGTCATGAGAAGGAATTTAAATAATACATTATTTTGTTATCTACTAGATGAATTTTTGTCTTAAATTCTTCTTTAGAAATTCTATAAAAAGTCATTTAATGTGTTCATAAATGTTTGTAAAATAGTTTTGCAAGTTTTTTCCCCATTATTAAAATTTAGGCTCTATAAATTGAAACAAGTATAATTTCCATAATTTCATGGATAATGAAGTTTGAAATCAAGACTATAGTCCTGGGAGTAATCCCTTTAGTTATAACTTTGTGAACTGCACATGTATTCTTTAGAAGTACAAGGCCTGGTGATAAGTAACACTAACCTCTGCTTGTATAGAAGTAACCTGTGCAGCTAATGCTGTGGAATGTATAAGTGGACTGGTTTTTTCAATGTTGTGTTTAAGTTTGCATCATAGAGACTTATTTCTCTAGTATCTCTATTTCTTTGCTTCCTGGGAAGGTAAAGCTGCCTCTGAGAATTGAAATCTGTTAACCCTGTGGAAGACTCATCATTGAGGGATTTGTGGAGCATCTCCCCCTATTTCTCTTAGTCCAAGAACAGTCTCCCTGAGTGAAAGCAAGCTGTTGTATCACTTTGTCAGTCCTAAATCCATGATTGGGAAAGTGCCCTTGGTGCTGGCTGCTTCTCCTAGAGCCTCAGAATAGGAAATTAAGGGAGTGATTTAGTGCCTTTCAACAATAATGTGGGAAATAGTCTCTGCCTGAACTCCAAAGATCTCTGCTGACTTTAGTTTTATCAAAATTTTTGTTTTATAATTTGGGGAAAAAATGGATCATGTGGTGAGAGAAGACCTTTATTAAAGGTAATTTTAACAAATGTGGTTTTGCTATATAATCAGATGATAATCCAAACCAACAGATTTGATAAGTTACAATTATAACTTGTTAAATTCATACCTTGTCACACAGGGACATATTTTGAAACCAAATGAGTGATCATCTCTTTAATTAAACTTGACAGTGTGAAACCTGAAGTAACAATATTTTATTTCAGTAGGGGAGGGCACTTGTGTAAAAGACCATTTGCTTACATATACCTAAATGAGGGTAGATATGACTGAGCAAGTTACAAACATAGGTCAGGGGCTACCTAGCAAGCATGTCACCCAGTCAAGCCCCAGAACCCACCCACTTACCTTTGTCAATCTGTACAGGACTCACCAAGGCTGGCAAAACTAGGTTTTTTAACCACCATAGTGGCTTCTTTCTGTTAGGAAATAATGATTCTGAGATAAACTAAACCTTGAATGATCAACAACTTCTCAGAATTCCTAGGTTGGGATGGTCTGTTCTACCATTTCTTTTTTTCAAAATTTGCTGTGAATTATCTTTAAGTTGTGAATATGTTCAATGACCTGAACATTGCTCTTAGGATGAGCTGACCCATACTACTACCCCACATGGAACCCTCTTCTTCCATGGTGGCCAGTGGGCTCAACCTTGCCCAGGGGCATGTGCTAACCCTCTACAGACATCTGCAAGTTCAGTAAATGCCAAGAGTTGAGTGCCTTCAGGGTTTTCTCCCCCCTCCTCCCCTCTCCCACCTAGCAGTTTTCTGTGAAGCAATCCTCCCTCAACTTTGCAAGCCCGAAGGATGCAAGCAGCATTCCTTATCAGGGCAACAGATAAGAGATGAGAATGTGAGGCTTACAAAGTCATTATGCAAATTTAGCAGAAGATCAACAGACTATAACCAGGGCTTCTTTCATAAACTCTTAGCTTGCAAAATCATTATAGTTCCTTGAATTTCCAAAAAGTAAAAGATTTTAGCATAGTCATATGCATGTTTCAAAGGATAAGCCTAGAGAATATTAATGCTTATTGCCTTAAACTGAATAGGAATAACTTCAAGAAAGGAGGCTCTCATGATCTGTGTAAATTTAGGTAGAAAAGACCTGTCAAAATATTACTCATAATTTCCATTTTATTTACACGTTCACATAAAACATACATACTCTTTTCTGCTAAGGTAGCTTTATGGTTAGTTTTCATAATACAATCCTGAGAGTACAAGAGAGGAAAACACCACAGTGACCAACTCAGAACTTCACAGGCAGGAACCTGCTAGCATACCATAGGTGGCCGGTCACACACAGCAAAGCTGTGCTGCTGCCCAGCCCTCCAAAGAAAGCCCACAAAGGTTTGCATTTGGCTACTTTAAATGCAAAGTATCAAAGGAAACAAATGCACACTCTTTGATTATAGTCATACCATCATAATAGTCACAACTGTGCAAAAATACTGTTTTCAAATCATCACATGAAAAAGGAACTCACACAAGCTATAAAAATGGCGCCACAAAAAAACAAAGCTTTCCTGTAAGAAATTTTAACTTTGACCATGAACTCACCCCAGATTTGCTAAAATACAAGAACTGTAACATAAACAGTCATCATATTTTGTTCATGATCCTACATTCGACAATGGAACATTTCAAGGAAGGATGTTTGGATACTGTTAATGGAACTTTTTCCCTCTCGTTTTCCTTTTACTTTCTAGCAGGTTTGTTCTAGCCATTATACTTATTTTTACTCTTTCCTGTGAAATATTAAAAAAAATCTTTAACTCAGACACTGATTCCATTGTTTATTTCAAAATAGGCAAGTCTCTGACATAAAATGTTGCCAATATTATTTTTAAAAACTGTACCTCTTTCACACTGGTTTATTAGGGGATAATAATAAAAGCTAAATGGATTTGCCACAAAAGAAAGCATTTGAGTTTTAATTTAAGTGGTCAGACCAGAAGGTTCTTTTAACAAATGGAAACACACCTTTTAGGCTAGTGATAAAAGATGCTGGCTGAGTAGGATTTAAATGCTCTTCAGGTGGCAGAGACTTATGGCCAGAGGACATGGGCTACAAAAGCACTTCCCATGGCTCACTTTTACAGAAGTGCCTTTTGGAAAAACTTTTTACAAAGTATATTTGGATGGTTTGTAGGACAGATTAGGTAAAGCAACAAAAATCCACTTTTTCTCTCTATAATATTTTCATAAGAGATTCCAACAAGAAATAAGAAAGTACCAAATGAATTTCATTCCAAATTGTACTATCAGTGATAACCAGCTTTAAGAATCCCTGACTTATGAAGGAAAAAAGAAATACTCATCAGATTCCAGGGCCCAACACCAGAGTGTCTATGTCTTCTGTTCCAGTCCCTCTGCTCTCAGCTGATACTATGAAACCACTAACCTTCCTCTCCATCAGTCCACCTTGCGTACATCACTACTACTACAGCCAAGGAATTCTCATAGTCACCTGAGAAAGCCTCCACAATATGGCCTCAGCTGGCCCTTTCAACCTTCCTTTTATTTTTTTAAATTCTTTTTAAAAGACTTCATTTATTTTCAGAGAAAAGGGAAGGAGGGAAAAAGAGGGAGAGAAACATCAATGTGCAAGTAGATAACACTGATCAGTTGCCTCTCGCACACCCCCAACCAGAGACCTGTCCTACAACCCAGACATGTACCCTAACTGGGAATCGAACAGTGACCTTTTGGTTCACAGGCTGGCTGGCACTCAATCCACTGAGCCACACCAGCCAGGGCTCAACTTTCTTTACTGCTACTTTCTCCTTTATCCCAGACTAATTTATTCACCATTCCCAAACCTTCCTTCTCACTGTGCCCTTGGTCTGGGCACACCCATTCTACTTCTGGCCCTTAATCCCAGTTGAGGACTATCCAAAAATGAAAACATCAACCCTGACTGGTATGGTTCAGTTGGTTGGGCATCATCCCTCAAAGTGAAAGGTCCCCAGTTAGGGCACATGTCTGGGTAGCAGGTTCAGTCCCTGGATGGGGCGCATATGAGAGGCAACCTATTTATGTTTCTCTCTTACATCAATGTTTCTCATCCTCTCTTCCCCTTTCTAAAAATAAACAAACAAATAAATAAATAAAAATTTTAAAACCCAAAATGAAAACATTTAAATACCAGTTACTATCTAACATAAGATGGGGAATTTCACCACCTGTCATTAGTGAAAGCAGCACAACTTAGAAAGAGACATAGGTTATCTCTGGCAACAAATGCATGTGAAACAAATAATTTAAGCCTAAAAATATGCATAGAGGAGGTTCAAGAAACAAGGCTATGTCTAAAATATGTCAGCATGTAACAAAATGGGATCAAGTTCACAAATCAATACAGCACATGTTAGTAATGTAAAACAAAAGGACAGAGTTCAAGTTCAAATACAAAAGCTAAAACAATTCCATCAGCCAAGAGGAAAGTCAAGCCCCCTCAGAAGCTAGTTGGAGGCATATAATAAGCTTCTGTTCCATGTTTACCCTACCTAATCCATCACGTTCAATAAATGACTAAAATTACTGAAACACTGTCTCAATGAGGATGTACATGACTGTGGATATAGGAAGGATGCCATCTCAATGGGAAAGAATATGAACATGAAAGAACAGACATGTGCCAGTTAAAACACCTTGATGTAAATATAAACAGGGATTTTTACCCCAACTACAAGTAGAAACTGTCTAGGAAGTTCTGTTTCTCACAGATCTTATATATTCGTGTGTGTGTGCCTTTGTATATAAATACAAAGCAGTTGAACACACCTTGACATTCATTCACACACAAGCAAATGGCATCAGGAAGTCCCCTTTTCTCAGTGTGATGCAGGCTGTTCTGAATTTTTACATGCATGTTGGCATAGGGAACAATATCGAAAGCAAAGAAACTAGTCATTAGCAACATCAAAAGAATCACAAGGTAACAACAAAAAATTTCTAATAAAGTCATAAACTTATTTCTAACAACCAGCCTAAACTAAACATGTACATTTAGAGAATATATCCAGATGCTAATTTACAGAGAATATGCAAAGCATTAATTAGAACAATTGGGTTGGACACTCAAATTAAAGAAAAAGAACAGAAAAATATGTGGCAAAATTAAACACGGGTTCTGCAAACATCAAATATTAAGAAGAAAATTCTGAAGTAGTTCTCAGAAAACTCTAAGGACTTTGGCAAGCATGAAATAACCCATTATACCCATAGTATGCACAGGAGCTTTTACCCATTCATTTAACATTAACACAAACACAGCAAACTTGAAAACAACACACACATCATTAAGCTCATGTGCAACAAAATTAAGCCATTAAATGAGCATCCCATAAAGATCACTTGGCCCTAAGAGGAAACTAAAGAGAGGTTAACTGCATGCCACAAAGACTTATAATTGTTTCACTTTAGGTCTCCGTCTCCGTCTCCATCCCCTTGGATGGACTTTTTGATACGAAGCAACATGGTAGTAAGCCACTGATCCAAGCGAGATATTGAGTCAAATTCCTTCACCTAGTTTAAGGTTAGAGGAATAGGAATTAGTCCATTGAGATACAATCAAAACAAAACAGTAGTTTAAATATATATAGTGATAAACTACCAACTTTTTTCATTTAAAATTATTCATTCCAGTTCCGAACTTTATTAAAATTTGCTTATTTTTCATTATCATCTGCCTATTTTGATGGAGCTATTAGGTTTCTGTGCCTTTTATATTGCTCTGTGTGCTAACTTGTGATAACAAAAATTCCTAACAGCCTTTATAATTGGAAGAAGAGCACATTTAATGTGACAGAAGAAATTAGACCATGTATAAGACTTAGAAGGGAACATGGAAAATTAACAGTGTCCCAATATTCATTGCATGTATGAAAGCAGAACTCCTTTAACTCATTTCAGCACACTACTAAAAGAATGACATTTCAATAGGATGAAAAATAGTTTTGTAGCAAAAGTTAAATGGGAGAACATTACTTCCTGCTATTGCTTCAAAGCTATGATGAATATATTAATGGCAGATAGGAAGAAACTTGATTCTAAGCATAAGATAGCAAAAGATAGGAAAATGGAAGATTGATGAATATTAAGAAAAAACTTCCATTTATTTTATGCTGGGAGTATATTATCATTATATTTTAAATTGCATTTAACTGATTTTACTTTACACTTATTTATGGAGCAGACTATTTTCAAAAGAAAACATTCTTAAAGGAGCAAATTGTAACACATATGACATTTTTTCTTGAATTTGTTTCACAGCTAAATTTACCATGGCTAATGAAGCTGTATTGTTGTGGACCGCTCTGCCTGATTTCAGGAATTGTAACTCTACTCCCCCCATGGCTAAGGATGAGTGAGCAACCTCCGGAATGTGAGCCACAGGAGACAATGCTTGTCTCTAGTAGCAAATGCTGCCTCAGTTTCCTCTCCCTGACCCCAAAGCATGGTCTATGTTGTTGACTGGTAAGTCCCCTCAGAGGAGGGGCAACCAAAGCCAGACATGATCACTGGGAGGCCATCATGGAAGGACTTGGGGGGGGGGGGCTGCAACAAAGAACAAGCAATAGACCCGTGCCCCTAGGCTATGTGACATAGCCCAAGTCCCCATGTACTCTGGGAGGAGAGCTTCCTGGCTCTAATCCCCTTAAGCCTGAACACCTGATGGGGAGGTGTGCAGCTCCTTGCCTTGCTGGAGTGGATCCTGGGGGGAAATCTGGCATCACAAAGAATTCCTGAAAAACCTGTGAAACCTGCTCTGCTAAAAGAGCTTTCATTCATATGTTAAGGGTTCAAGCAGGAAACCCTAAAAGTTTCTGCAAAACTCCCATCCTGACAGGCTCTGACTCAGACTAAGCTCTCAGATTTCTTTGAAATGTTACCCAGTTTGATCCTTACCGCCCTATATTCCTGTGTATTACAACCCAATAAAAGCCCCTAGAGGAAGGGGCTTGAGGCCATTCCCTTTTGAGGGATCGACCACCTCTCCTCCCCCAGCAGATCATGTCTTGTTTACTTTCATCTGTGGCTGACGGGAGGACTTGTGGGAAAAGTCACCCCCACACTGTATAATTATATAGGTTTGTGGAATATATAAAACATGACCTTTGGAAAACACAATTTCAGTATACTGGAATAATGTTAAAATAAATATTCAGCATTTACATAATGAAAAAAATAAGTTTCTATAACTTAAACCTTCAAAGAATGTACTATACCACAAAGACATAACTTACTGCTTCAGTGTAAGCTTCACTGTTCTGTTCTTCATGAGCTTCTAGAAGTTTCTAATAACAAATATGAAAAATTTCAGTATGCTAAAAAGTTCCATCTCTGAATAAAGATATTTTAAATAGAGAAACAGCCTTAGTATCATATTTACTGATATTGCCAAATACTTTACAAAATTGGAGAAATGAATTCAAGTACAAACACAGAATTACCCCAAGTCATGAATCCGGTAATTGTGTTAACATTTCTGAATTGCCTGCTTCAGAATACAATACTATGTCCCTGACTCTTAGTGGCATTTGAAATCTATTACATGAAAGCAAGAAAGACTCTTCAGTAGACTTCACAGAATTGGAACTTTACTTCATACACCATTCCACCTGACAGCAAATGCTTTTTTCTTCAAAGTTCTAACATTACTTACTTTCAATAATTTACATTCTCTTGAATCAGTAAATGCTGGAAACATTTCCTCATATTTCTCAAGAGCAAGCTGAGAGAGAAAAACCATTTGTTAGTATTCAACTCACTAAACCAGGAAACAAAGCTTTGAACATTCCATTAACTTCAGTTAAGACTTGTCTACATTCTATTTAAGTGTATAAGAAGTAGGGTGTTAAATTCAACATTAAAATTAACATTGGAATCCTATTTATTCTGATTTTCAATTTCAGTTAAGAGTAAATTAGATAATTTACCAAAAACTCATAGACCAGTGTCTGTTGGCATTCATTAAATGAAATTCATTCTTAACACTGTTCTGCATCCCCCCAAAATCACTTAGACCATTGTTCAAGGGTACAGGGAAGAATGCTTTTCCTCTTAGTGGTTTTAATCCTGCTGTTCCACCTCCAACTAAAAACAAGAAGGCTACCCAACTCTCTACCTCTTGTCTCTCAGCTTTCACTTGTCTTTTCACCTTCTCACAATTCTCATTCCAATCACACTTCTAAGTTTTTTTTTTAAAGGAAGGTATTCTACTTTTATTGTCTCCCCCTATGCTCACTAATTTCTTTAAGGCAAAACTACTGAAGGAAATGTGGCTATCAGGAAACTTTAAGAGAACAGCTTAGGCAGTTGTTACAAGATTACAGCTGAGGAATATACCATATTATTATTATTATTTTAAGGTACTCAGTTTAGTCTTGCAACTAACAAATATCACCCAAATGAAGTGATATCAAGAAAACACAGTACTGGAGTGAGACCTCCTCTCATGGGTAATGTGTATCAGTAAACTAGTACTGAAGGACTGATTCCTTACCTTGGCATTCAACTCATCGACTATGAAGTGACAGAGGGCTGCTTTAAAGAAGTAATCCTTTGCACTGTACTTCAACAGAGGATTATCCATGGTGTTGGCTCCAACCTAGGCTCAGAAAGCAGAGTCAAATTTAAAATGTGTGGCTGCTTCTTCTTCCTTTTTCCTTTTTAAATTTAATTTATTGAGTTTCTTCTTTCTCTCTGCTGCATAGTATTCCATTGTGTAAATGTACCAGTTTTTTGATCCATTAATTTACTGATGGGCACTTAGGCTGCTTCCAACACTTGGCTATTGTAATTGTGCCACTATGAGCACTGGAGTGCATAGGTCTTTTGAATTGGTGTTTCAGGATTCTTAGGGTATAATCCCAACAGTGAAATCGCCAAGTTAAAAGGCAGTTCCATTTTTTGTTTTTGAGGAAATACTGTTTTCCGCAGCAACCAAACAGTTTACATTCCCACCAATGGTGCACCAGGGTTCCCTTTCCCCCATATCCTCGCTAGCATTTGTTGTCTCTTGATTTGTTGATGATGGCCATCCTGACCAATGTGTATTTCACTGCAGGTTAAAAAGAAATATTTAGGCCCTGGCTGGTGTAGCTCAGTGGATTGAGCATGGGCCTGTGAAGCAAAGGGTTGCTGGTTCGATTCCCAGTCAGGGCACATGTCTGGGTTGCAGGCCAGGTCCCCAGTAGGGGACACATGAGAGGCAACCACACATTGATGTTTCTCTCCCACTCTTTCTCCTTCCCTTCCCCTCTCTCTAAAAATAAATAAATAAATTTTTTAAAAAAGAAAAAATTAATTTACTGAGGTAATACTGATTAATAAAACCATATAGGTTTCAAGTGTACAATTCAATAAAACATCATCTGCATACTGCATCGTGAGCTAACCACCCAAAGTCAAGTCTCTTTCTATCCCCATTTATCCCCACTTTGCCGACTTCTACTCCCCCCCCTTCTTTCCCTCTGACTGTAGGGATACTGCTGACTGTGTCTATGTGCCATAGATATATATTGTTTTTTAAATGGTTTGGTTTCGTGTATTAGTCATACTGATTCTCATCCACTACCTTAAGAAAATACTTCTGTATCTTATATAAGTTAGTTTAACTATGAAATAAATTATTTTAATGCAGTATCACAAACTAAAAAATTTTAGTAGAAGCAAAAGTATTGAATTAAGTGCTGACCTGTTAAAAATGACTCAGAAGACTTCCACTTGCAGGAAGATGTAACAGACATACTTTGCTCTGTCTTTCCTAAGTACAACTGAAAGCCCAGTTATTTTATATAAAACAAATCTAAAACTGAAAGGTGAAGAGAAAAGAGCAGACTGATAGGGACCCTGAGACACAAGGGAAAACATGACTGTGAGTTCCCTGGGTCTTCTTTTTCTTTCATGTACCCTTGACTTTTTATAGAGAAAGTCAACCACCTATAAAAGCCATTGGATGCAGGGGGAAAAAAATGAAGGGAATAGACAAAGAGTCTGCTGTCTCTAACACCAAAAGGACTAGCAAAGAGGCAGCTTAGCAAGACAGAAAATGTTAATACTGTTCTACTACAGCCAAACACAAGAAAACCATGGCTCTACCCTCACTCACATTATCAAAGGCTAAGGAGGAAACCAAGACGTCCAACTTATCAAGTCTGCAAAGAGGGGTTCAACATTCCTGCCAAGGTGGCTTCAGAGAAAGTCAAAAGGAGCTAATCCTTCATCTGTGCCAGCTAGTAATGAGCCCACCCTCCGCCCCTATTGCTGAGGTAGGAGACCACATGAGGAACCTGGCTCTACCTCCATCCAGCAGGAACCAGATGTTCTCATCTCCCAGCTGGTTTTGGAAGAGGCCTAGTAGAGGTTTAAGATTTCACCATCACTTGGCAGTAGCAAGGACAATCCCAGGGTAGAGATGGTGGAGGGTAAGCAGGAGCTGGAACAAAATGAGGGCCACCCTCCAGATGTCAATGAAGGCCAGTGGGGAGCCTGAACTTCTAACCTCTACCTGGCAGTAATGAGATGATACTCTTTTCCAGCCAGAGCAGTGTTACAGAAAAACCACTGACACAGAAGATTTAAGTAATATCCAGTCTCATAAAATAATGTGAAAATGTCCAGTATTCTATTGAAACTTACTCACCCAAAAAAACAAGAAAGATCTTTTTTTTTTTTTTAAAGATTTTATTTATTTATCTTTAGAGGGAAAGGGAAGGAGAGAGGGAGAGAAACATCAATGTATGGTTGCCTTTCATGCATCCCCTGCTGGGAACTGGCCTGCAGGGAACCTGCCTGCAACCCCAGTATGTGCCCTGACTGGGAATCGAACCTCGATTGTCTGGTTCTCAGGCCCGTGCTCAATCCACTGAGCTACACCAGCCAGGGCTGGAACAGAAAGATAACAGAAAAATTTCCAAACACTTGTAAATCAAACAAAACATTTCTAAATAACCCATGAAAATCAATAAATTCAATGAAATGAATTTAAAAAAAGCCAGAACAATATAACAGTGAGACATAGCCAAAAGTTCTAAGAGGGAAACTGATAGAACTAAAGTTGTGTGCACACAAAGAAAATCAGTAAGCCAAGTTCCCACTTTAACTTACTACCAAGAAAAGCAAAATAAATCCAAAAACCTGGCAGGACAGAAATAATATATAAAGGTAATCATGACAACCAGTAAACTGGAAAAAATTTTAAAAAAAACAACAGAGAAAATAACTGAATTCCGCCAAGTATTTAAAGAATGAACACTAATCTTTCAAACTCTTCCAAAAAAATAGAAGAAATGGGAATACTATTCCTCATGGTCTTACCTTACTACCAAAACCAAACATATCACAAGAAAACAAAATTAAAGATCAATGTCCCCATATGAACATGAATGCAAAATCCTCAACAAAATACTAGCAAACTAATTCCAGCAACTTACAAAAAGAATTACATAATTATAAAATTAAGGATTTTGTCTATAGTGAAGTCTGGCCTTTGCCTATGACTCCTGGTAGGTAATCTCTTATGCCCTTGTAATGTCCTGCTTGGTAAGAGTGTTTTTCTTTACTTGGGGGCCTTAGGCAGTATGGTTCAACACACCCTGTGGAGGAACTGGAGGGATTGAAGAACCTAGTCAGCCACGTGGTCAACCATATCTACATAATTGAGCCCCAATAAAAACTTTAGACACTAAATTCAGGTGAGCTTCCCTTGTTGACAACACAGTATACATATTTTCACATATTGTTAAACAAGGTAAGTGCTATTTGTACAATTCTACCAGGGAGGACAATAGGAAGTTCCACACTTGGAACCCTCCTGGATCCTGCCCTATGACATGTCTTACTTTAGCTTTGATCTCCATCTGTATATTTTTTATAATAAATCATAACTATAACAGCTTTCATTGAGTTCTATGAGTCATAGGGACATATCAAACCTGCAGGTGTTCTTGGAGACCCCAAAACTTTGCAATGGCCAATTATGATTTGTTCCAGAAATGTAAAGTTGGTTCAACATATGAAAATCAATGAAATATAGTGCCTTAATAGAATTAAAAGACAAAAACTTTTATGATCCTCTCAACAGATACAGAAAAAGCACTTGACAAAATGCAATACCTTTTGATGATAAAAATAGTTTAACTAGGAAGAAAAGGGAACTTCCTCAAACTAATAAAGGGCATCTATTAAAAAATCCACAGCTAACATTATACTTAATGATGAAAGACTAAAAGCTTTCCTCCTAAGATAGGAACAATAAAAGGATGTCTGCCCTTGCTACTACTACTTAACATTGTACTGGAAGTTATAGCCAGGACAAGAGACAAAAAAATGAAGTAAAGGGCATTCCGATGGAGAAAAAGTCATAAAGCTATTGCTACTGGAAGATGACATTATTTTGTGTATTAAAAAATCCTGATCAATCCACAAAGCAAACACTGGAGCTAATAAACAAGTCCAGCAATGTTTCAGTGTATGAAACTAGCAATTAACAATCTGAAAAGGAAACAAACTCCATTTATAATAGCATCAAAAGAATAAAATACTTAGAGGTATATTCAACCAAAGAAGTGTAAGACTTGCACACTGAAAACTATAAAATATTGAACAAAATTAAAGATATAGTAAGTGGAAAGTCATCTTATTTTCACAGATTGTAACACTTAATGTTAAGATGACAATACTTTCCAAATTGGTCTACAGATTCAATGCAATCCCCATTAAATCACAGCTGGTTTCTTAGCAGATATTGACAACTGATCCTAAAATTCATATGGAAATGCAAAAACCCCGAATAGCCAAAGCACTCTCTAAAAAGAAATTGGAAAACTCACATGTCCTGATTTCAAAATTTACTACAAAGCTACAGTAATCAAACTGTGTGATAATGGCATGAAGATGGACAGATCAACAGATTAGAACAGAGAGCCCAGAAATAAACTTTTGCATATTGGTCAAATAATTTTCAACAGGGTACCAAGACCATTTGATGGCAAAAGGAAAGTGTATTCAACAAATAGTGGTGGGAGCACTGAAAGTCTACAGGCAAAAAAAAAAAAAAAATGCTATTGAATCCTCAACTAACACCATATATAAAACGTTGTTCTAAACAATATGGACCAAAATTCTAAACCTAAGAGATAAAACTATAAAACTTGTAACACAAAACATAGAATAAAAGCTTAATAACTTTGAGCTTAGTAACTTCTTGGATACAACATGAAAAACACAGGCAAGAAAAGAAAAAATAGAAAAATTGGACTCAATACAAGTTTAAAACTTTGTGCATCAAAGGATACTAATAAAGTAAAAGGGAAACCCACAAATGGGAGACAACATTTGCAAATCACTTATCTGATAAGGTATTAATATCCAGAATATATAAAGAACTTCTAAAAATACCAAGAAAAGAAATTTGCATATGAATGTCCAATAAGCACATGAAAAGATACTGAACAGCACTAATCATTATGGAAATGAAAATCAAAAACATGAGATAGTGCTTCACACTCATTAGGGTGGTTATTATTAAACAAACAAACATAAAACAAGAAGTATTAGTGAGACTGTGGAGAAACTAGAACCCCTGTACATTGCTGGTAGGATGGTGAAATGGTATAGCAACTGTGGAAAACAATCTGGCAGTTCCTCAAAAAGTTAAAAATGAACTTACTATATGACCCAGCAATATCCCACTCCCAGCTATATACCTAAGAGAACTGCAAACATACCCCCAACAAGATCATAGCAGCAAGGATTCATAACAGCACCAAAGTGGAAACAACATAAATTTCCATCAAATAATACACGAAGTGAAATATTACTCAGTTATGAAAATGAATGAAGTATCAATACATGTTACAACATAAGTGAACATTGAAAAAAACAAACTAAGTGAAAGAACCTAGTCACAAAAGGCCATACAGTATATGATTCCATATACGTTAAAGGCCTAGAATCAGCAAATACATTTAGAAAGACAAAAGATGGTGGTTTCCAAGGACTGGGAGGAGGAGACAATGAGGTTTCTTTTTAAGATAATGTTTTGGAATTAGGTAATGGTAATGATTATATACCTTTGTGAATATACTAAACACCACAAACATGTTACTCATTAAAAGGATGAATTATATAACATATGAATTAATTCTCAATAAAAAAAGTTAAATTAAAAGTTTAATTAAAAAAAAGATTCAGAGTAATTCTATCAGAAGTTGAAGAGACAGCAGTAACCTCACCTGCTCATAGATTTCAATGGCTTTCTGGTATTGCTCAAGCTGGGCAGCATATGCTGCCACCTTCAGCAGACACTTGTTAGCTGAACTAAAATCAAGAACCAAAGTAGAGTAAGTAACAAATTGATAGAAAAATAAAAAGATATACTAGTGTACCTTCATTTGGCACAGTGCAATATGTTCACAGAGTTTAGTGAAGATTTGTCTTTTTTTTTAGTCCCATTTCCCTCCCTTTATTCCCTTCCACCCTGCTCACCCCCTCCCACCTGCTTTAGTTCATGTCCATGGATCCTACATATAAGTTCTTTGACTTCTATATTTCCTATACTATTCTTAACCTACCCATCTATCTTCTACCTACCATTTATGCTACTTATTCTCTGTACCTTTTCCCCCTCTATCCCCACCCATTCCACCACTAATAATCCTCCATGTGATCTCTATTTCTGTGATTCTGTTTCTGTTCTAGTTATTTGCTTAGTTTTTGTTTTAGGTCTGGTTGTTAATAACTGTGAGTTTGTGGTCATTTTACCATTCATATTTTATCTTTTTAGATCACGCCCTTTAACATTTCATATAATAAGGACTTGTGATGATGAACTATTTTAACTTGACCTTATCTGGGAAGCATGTTATCTGCCCTTCTATTCTAAATGAAAGCTTTGCTGGATAAAGTCATCTTGGATGTAGGTCCTTGCCTTTCATGACTTGGAATACTTCTTTCCAGCCCCTTCTTGCCTGCAAGGTTTCTTTTGAGAAATCCTGATAGTCTTATGAGAACTTCTTTGTAGGTAACTATCTTTTTTCTTGCTGCTTTTAAGATTCTTTCCTTCTCTTTATTCTTGGGTAATGTAATTATGATTTGCCTGGTGTGTCCAACTTCTTTAGGACTCTCTGAGCTTCCCAGACTTCTTGGAAGTCTATTTCCTTTGTCTATTTCCTGGGTGGGTAGGTTTGTGTACATTCCAGGATCCCCTGTTGGTCTCTCCAATGAACTCTCCTATGAGGCTGGGAGTTTCTCCTGCTGCCTCAGGCCCCACAGGTGTTTTCAATCGGAGGTTTGAGGTTTTATTTCCCCATGCTGGAACTCTGGGTTGCACAGTCTGTCTCACTCCCCAATTGTTCCTCCCGGTTTATCTGCACATGAATATGGGACTGCCCAGTCTGCAATCTGCCGCCTTGCCGGGTCCACCAGCTACTGCCTTGCCTGCCAACTGCCCCCTTGCTGCAAGTCCTTTCCACCCAGCTGCCTGTCTCTGCCCCTCCTACTGGTCTGGATGAATGTTTCTTCTTTAACTTCTTGGTTGTTAGACTTCCATACAGTTCGATTTTTCTGTCAGTTCTCACTGTTTTTTGTTTTTAAATTTGTTGTTGTCCTTCTTTTGGTTGTGTAAGGAGGCACAGTGTGTCTATGTCCACCTCCATCTTGGCTGGGAAGATCTGTCTCTTATCACACTTGACAAAAATCCCATACTTGCCTATTGGATTCTTCTCCTTTGTAATAATCAGCTGATTGTTCATAATGTGTGATAGCCTGAAAAGACACACATATGTTATTCAAACTTATTTAAACTTGTTTAAAGAGTTACATTTAAAATTACACTTGCATGGGTATTTTTCTTATAAATAAACCTATCTTAACAGTAAACTCTTCACAATTTTGCCTACTTTATTTAGGGAACAGAAAAATACATGCAGCTCTGGAAGTCTGGTGGCAGAATGCTTACTGTCCATCAAAATCTCTTTTCCCCTTCCCCAGTGGCAAACCCAGCTCCACCATTTTCCCAGCCTATACTCCAGTTAGGGGAGCTATGAGACCTATTCTTTCCAATGGAATATAAATAGACATGCTGTAAACTACTTTTAGACTTGGTCCATACATCAGACTTTGCATCTTTTGCTAGGTCTTTTCCTTTTCTCATGAGCTAGAATGTCAATGGGCAGTCTAGAGTAAGCCAAAAGCTAGATGGCAGAACTTGCTTTCCCAGATCCTAAATAATTACAAAGGGCAAAATGCACCCCAAACCCCTTGTTCCCACCACTGTCAAACCCAGAAAAGCTACACTGTATTATTATTTTTGAGATATGTAGAGTCCTACTAGATTTAAACTTATGGCTTGCTAAAGCATCAGACTATTTCCACTAATAACATAAGTGTTATCTAAAATAAAGGTGTTGTTTAACATCTAAAATGTGTGGTGCTCAATAAACAGTGAATTTGAGAGGAAACAGAGGTTGCAGGCTTGAAAGCTAGAAGCTATTGTCCTGCTGTGGCGTAAGACTTAGTAAAATCAAGCATGCGACAACAAAGAAGGCAAATGCCTATTGGAGCTGGAAACTCTGTGGAAATAAAACTTATGGAAAAAGCCAAATGACAGTGTGTACTGCTATTTTCAGCAAGGTTTTATAAGAAAAAATAATGTAAGCAATTAGCCGTTTGGTAGGCAATTATGAAAAGAAACATACAAAGTGCAGGGATAGGGCCTTATAAAATTGGAAAGGCCAATATTCCTAATAGCAAGAGGTAAGTCTGAGCAATGTTTTAAATGATGGGCCTGGAAAACTTTTCTGTAACATGCTAGATAATAAATATTTTAGACTTTGTAAACTATAAATTCTATTTTTACTATTTATCTCTCCTGTGGTAGCACAACTGTAGCTACAAATGATACCTAAATGAACAAGTGTTCCTATATGCAAATAAACCTTACTCATGGACAAGATTTCAGTTTCATTTAATTTTTTATGTCATGAATGCTTTTCTCCTCAATGACTTAAAAATGTGAAAACATTTCAGACATACAAAAACAGCTGGCTGGTTTGTAGATTATATTTCAAGGTTTTTCCAGTAAACCTAAAAGAAACCTATGTGAAAATCATATTACAGGTGCTGCCCACTAGTTCAATGACGTCAAAGTAGCTCTAATGAGTTAGGAGAAGCCCAAAGACAAGGGAAAAAAATAAATGCAAGGTCCAGCATAAATAACACCCCTTTTTATTATGTAATAAAATATTTTATTACAAAATCATAAGCATGGAATTCTGTAACATAACAATATCACACTCAAGCATACTATAAAACATTTTAGGTGAAATGTTCAAATTAAAAGTATAAATTATTATACCCATATTATTACCCTATGGAACCACACTCAAACAGGTCTTACTTCTGCTGGACCCACACTGAGTTGGTCAAAAAGTCTGTTTAGTTTTTTCTGTACAATGGCTCTAGTAGTGCTTAGTTGTCTTTAACTTCATTTGAAACAATTTTGTTAGATTATATTGTGACAACTGTCATATCAGCATGCATTTAAAAATCAAAATTGGTGAATTTTTGTGCATCCATTTTGATACTGAAGATGAAAGAAGATATGCAACACTGTCAGTGTATTATGCTTTACTATTTCAAAAAAAGGTAAAACAATGGAAACAAAAAAAAGATTTCATGCAGTGTATGAAGAAGGTGCTATGACTGATCGAACATGTCAAAAGTAGCTTGTGAAGTTTCTTGGTACTATTGATATTTTGGCCAAATAACTCTTAGCTGTGTGACTGCTTTATGCATTGGAAGATGTTTAGCAGCATCCCTGGCCCCTACCCACTAGAAGCCTATAGTGGGAGCTAGACGGCATACTCAAAATATCCAAATCAACAAAGTTATTGGTGAAAATAAAAAATGTGCCTTTTTTTTACAGAAAAAACTAAATGGATTTTTTGGTCAACCCAATAACAGGCTAGGAAACCACTTGGTATTAGGAAACCACTTGGGTATAGTTACAGGCACAGAGAACTAACTTGAAGCAAACAGACCTGGCTCATAAAACAAAGGTCCCTTTCCTGCAGGTGATACCAAAGAATGCAGAGCCACTGGCTGAAAAGGGCAGAGCCAGTATCAGCCTTGACTAGGCTGCAATTTTTGACAAAACTGGAAGTTTTGTCAAAAACAGACACTTCTGTGTTTGAATAAATATGTTTTGGGTCTATTTGTTTCAGCCACTTAGCTTACCAAAATAATATGCACCCTCTCCACCCACAAATTTTCTCAGCATTATTTATTATAGGGGAAAAAACAGAAACAACTTAAGTAAATATAATGGGCTACTATGCTATTATTAAAAGTAATGCATAGAAAATTCAATATAGAAAGTTCTTTATGAAATATTAAAGCCATAAAAGAACAGGCACATTATAGTCCTCTTTCTACAACTGTATATACACATCCAGGAGACATCTGATAGAATATATTCCTTTGATGCACATGTCAGAGCTGCTATATACATACACATGTGGAATTACATGATAAATGTACATCTTCTCACATTAAAATATAAGCTCTGTGAAGGCAGGTCCCATGATAGATTTGCTCACTATTATGTCTCTAAGCCTGTCATAATGCCTATTACACTGTAAGTAATCAATATTAACACTAAGTAAATGAATGTAAACTGCATTTCAGATGAAGGACCTCTATTAAACTATTGCCAATAATTTGATTACTTTGGAATGCCCAGGAAAGTTTTTCACTGAATTTATGATTAATCAAAGATAATCTCTTTAGGATACTACAAAAATGATAAAGGGAACAATCCAACAAGAGGATATTAACTCTAGTAAGCATTTATGCACCAAACACAGAACACATAAATATATAAAGCAAGTCTTCATGGACATAAAAGGGGAGACTGACAGAAATACAGTCATAATAGGAAATTTCAACACCCCACTGAAATCAATGAAGAGAAAATCAACAAGGAGATGACAACTTTAAATGACACAGTTAATAAATCAAATGGATTTAATTGATTATCTTCAGAGCATTTCATCCCAAAGCAGCAGAATATACATTTTTGTCAAATGCACATGGAAAGTTTTCTAAAATAGACCACTAGTGAGGACACAAAACAAGTCTCAATAAATTTAAGAAGACATATCATAACAGGCATCTTCTCTGACCATAATCTATTTAAGCTAAAAATTAATTACAACCCCCCCAAAAAACACACAAAGATATGAAAGCTAAATAACACATTACTGAACAATGGTTAACAAGGAGATCAAGTAAGAAATCAGAACATTCCTTGAAACAAATGAAAATGAGGACATAACCCCCAAAGTCTGTGGAACAAAGGAAAAGTAATCCAAAGAGGGAAATTCATATATTTACAGTCTTATCTCAAGAAACAAGAAAGACCTCAAATATACAATGTGAAAACTCAAAAAAGAAGAACAAACAAAGCCCAAAGTGCATAGAAGGAAGAAAATAATAAAGATCATAAAAGGAATAAACAAAATAGAGTCTAAAAGAACAGTACAGAAGACCACTAATTCCAACAATTTGTTCTCTGAAAAGATAAACAAGACTGACCAATCTTTAACCAGACTCATCAAGAAAAGAGAGGAGCAAATAAATAGAAACATAAATGAAAGAGAAGAAGTAACAACTGACACCAAAGAAATATAAAGGGTTGTAAGAAAATATTATGAACTATTTGTCAACAAATTGGACACTCTGGATGAAATGGATAAATTCCAAGAAACGCACAATCTTCTCAAACTAAATCAGGAAGAATCAAAGAATCTGAATGGACAAATTAAAACTAGTGAAACTGAAGCCATAATAAAAAAACTAAAAAAAAAAAAAAAAAAAGCCCTGAACGAGATAGCTTCACAGGTAAATTTTATCAAACATTCAGAGATCTAATACCTCTTCTTCCCAAAACATTCCAAGAAATTCAAGAAGAGGAAATACTCCCAAGCTCAAATAATGGGGCCAGCATTACCCTATTTCCAAAACCAGACATAGACAATACAAGGAAAGAAAATTAGAGGCCGAAATCCCTGATGAACACTGATTGTAACCCCTGCCCTGCAAAATATTAGCAAATCAAAAACAGCAATACATCAAATAGATCATACAGCATGATCAAGTGGGATTTTTTTCCAGGAATACAAAATTGGTGCAATATCTGCAAATCAATAAACATGAGACACAACATAAAAAAAATGAAAGATTGAAATCACATAATCATATAAATATGTAAAGAAAAAGGATTTAATAAAATCCAGCACACATTTATGATAGAAACTCTCAGCAAAATGGGAATAGAGGGAGCATACCACAACATAACATAGGATATATATGCCAAACCTACTGCCAACATCAGACTCAAAAGGCAAAAACTACAAGTATTCCTCTTAAGATCTGGAACAAGACAGGGATGTCTGCTTTTGCCCCTCTTATTTGACATAGTACTGGAAGTCCTAGCCACAGCAATCAAACAAAAAGAAATAAAAGGCATCCACACAGACTTCCGCCAAGATGGAGGTGTAGGTGGAAACACTTTGTGTCCGCGCACAACCAAATTTAAAAACAACAAAGTTTTAACAACAATAAACACAACCAAAAGACACAGAAAATCGATAATACGGAGTCTGAAAACAATGAAATGCTCAGCTAAACCGGTAAGAGGGGCGAAGCCAGCAGCAGAGCGGGTTGGCAAAAAAGATCCCCGACAGGGTGGTGCACAAGCAGCC